TAGCTCAACCCCGTAATCAATAAATTTAAAAATTATTTTGTAATCCGAGTTCGTAAAAGTAAAAAAAGTCTTATTTGTGATTGTGTTTATATATATTAAGTTTAATTAGATTTCCTCCAAAAATATCAAAGTTATGTGAACTTATAACACACATATTTTTATACTCCAGCTTAATTAGTTCTGAAGAAAAGTATTGGTCTCGTTAACTTCCAACAAACAAAAAGTCAAAAAAATCGTTAATTATTAAATCTATATCACTTCTGTTAGTGCAAAAGTTCGTATGCAAATACTCAGTGTGCACTGGATTTTTTTATAATTACGAATCACCAAATATGCAGTCTACAAATGCGGAATTCTTTAGCATTTTAGTATTTGATGATGAACAAAACTCGTGAATATCAATCCGGTATATGTTGATGGATTACTGGATTTCCGAAAACGGCTATTCCTAGAGATTTTATTCTCATATGAAAAATGTTTGATTTTGTAATATAGATATTTTTTAGCCTATGAAAACGGTGAAGAAGCTACACTGGCCTTATTGGTAGACTTTTTTTAAGTTGATTGTTAAATTTTATGTTGCGTAATATAAAATGGCCCGTAAGAGGTCGTGGATCCCCCTCCAAGGTTATAAATAACTAAATAAAATAATTTTATAATAATAATAATAAAAGGCTTAGCGAACCCAAAGGTTCGATGCCGATAACACCAATCTCTTATTGCACACCTCCCTCCACAGTACGCCGTCCAAACCTAGTCCATTCAGATCGGCTTTAATGCAATCTTCCCAACTTCGCTTCGGTCTACCCTTCGGACGTTTACCATTCGGTACAGCAAATATTAACTTTTTAGGAATTCTCTAGTTACTAAGCCCAACAATTTTACAAGCCCATTTGATTCGTCAGGATGAAATCACCTTAATTTCTCGGATGTAGTTCGAGCAATTCGGCGTTGTGTAACCGTCTGAACTCTCCGGTTAATTCATCCTTCTTCGGTCCGAATATTCTACGCAATACTTTATTTTCAAAAACCTTAAGGCATTGCTCATCCCTTAATGTAAGCGGCCAAGTTTCGCATTCGTAAAGAACTGTAGGCAAGATAATTGTTTTATAGATTCTAATTTTTAAGTTCCGGGACAAGAGGCGCGAGCTAAGTAGTTTTGTCACAGAAAAATAACAAGCATTTCCCGCCTTCAGCTCTCTATCGTAGAACCTAGATACCTAGTAGAACCTACTTCTCTACCTGTAAAATAATTTTATAACACATCAATTTCAAATTAAAATAATCCATTGGTAATTCTAAAATACAACAATTGATAATGAAAATTATCCATTCATTATTAATAATATTCTGTGAATGGAACTGTAATATGTCGGTTTGAACTGCTCCTCTATTCCGAAGGCGTTGGGATGTGCTGGTGAAAGTATCAAGTTATGCAGAGCAGGTTCTAGCCACGCTGGAACGAGTCCAAATTATTCTGCAAGGCTCACTTAATTATTTTTCCATATGGACAGGTACCATTAGGAGTTGTCTATTTAGCTGTTCGTTATTACGTTTCAGTACGCAGTATCTGAAACTTATTGTTCTAATTGGTTAAAAGCTGGTATTTTTACTTATTTCGGCATTCACTTTGCCGTATTTACAAATTTTCATTTAGTTCTGAGGGGAGAGGGTGGATTACGGGTCCTGGATGATTTGGCATGGAATGACCCAGTTTTCATAAATTATTATTTATATTTTTTTCCCCTCCGAGGCGTCTGAAAAGAAGACTTGATCTCCTAATATAGACATATTATTATAGTGGGTAGTTTCTCGACATGTGTTTCATGTCATTATATCCATGTACGAATTTATTAGATTTATTTTTTGTATACAGTTGTAAATATCATATAAATAAATATTTTTTTCGTCACTCTGCGTTACCTTCTACAACTTTAATTTATTTGATATCATTTTTCTAAAATTCTCAGCTTCCCAACCTTCTGACTATTATTTCCAGAGATTAATTTTCTACCTGGATAAACATTTTTATTTTTTTCTCCATTATTCAATTATCAAATTCTTTTAAAGGTTATATTTAGCATTTTTTTTGTAATGTTAACTATTCGTGATAGTTAATTATTTACAATAAACCATATTAAAGGTACTTTAGAGGAAGACGTATATGAACATTGATAATTTAAGCCATGTAAAGTGACATCAATGGTGACAAGACCTGATTAATATTAAAGACCACTTAATATAACCGATGATACGCCGTAATAGCTTCATCTTATAGTAACCTACAAATATTTTATTTACGAAATTCTTGGAAATAGGACATTTTCAATCTGGAGGTCGGCAAAATTTGTCAATTTAATTAAGTACTAAAACTCGTAAAAAAACAATTGTTTTTCACTTGGATCGTAAGATAATTTGATTACAAAATCGAGAAAATAGGTGGCCTAAAAAAATATTGGGCCGTTTGGCCTATATAACCTCCTTATTTTGAAATTATGGGGGTGTATGTTAAACGGGTCAATATTTTTGAAGGCCACCTTTTTTCTCGACTTTGTGCTCAAGTTGTTTTCCGATTCAAGTGGAAAGCAAATAGGTATTTACGAGATTTTAGTACCTAATTAAATAGACATCGTTCGCCGATCTCCAGATAAAAAACTCCAATCCTTTCAGTCTAAAGTCCTCCGTATGATAGTCAATGCTCCTTATTACGTTACAAACAAAACTCTACATCATGACCTTTACATCCCTTATATCCTTGACGTTATTCTATCCCGATTCTAAAATTTTAATCAGAACCTAATCCACCATCCTAACCCTTTAGCACAATCCTTATCTAGCTCCAGTCATCCCTACAACCCTCCTCGAAGGTTGAAACGGCAGTGGCCTCGAGATCTCTTGTAAAGACGTCACTGGAGTTCTGGCAATGGCCAGCTTCTCCACTCAAGTCATGAGTGTTTGTGGTTTTAGTGCCCTCTCTCAGTCTCCACCGGACTGGTAATGCCGGCGACGCGGTTGAGAGAGAAGCGCTGGGATCTCTTAGAGTCTCGCTTTGTCCTTCACACGTGGGGGAAAGGGCTGGACTCGGAGATCTCTTGCCTGATTGTAAATATTGTATTTAAGTATGAATGTTTTTCTATTTATTTCTATTACTTATAATTTATTTAATTTTGCTACGAATTTCTGTATTTCATTTAATTTTAACTCTAAGTTACATTTCCTTGGTTTATTATAGTTTTTGCCTTTGTTATATAGATGTATATATATTTTTTATTTATTTATTTTTTTTTTTATGGTATTGTATATATGGTATGAATGTGCCTCACTCAGCCTTAGTACTCAGTGCCCTTAAGTGTGGCAAAATGTATTATTTCTCAATAAACAGATAAAAAAAAAGAAGATAAAAACACCACAATTCCGAGAATTTTCGTAAGTATAATATTTGTAAGATGAAGCTATTTACGAAGTTTCAGCCGGATGTTAACAATTTGATAAAAAGGGGTCTGTACCACGGACTATTATATTATTATATATTATCCATTATGCCTGAGAATTCTGCTATTATTATCATTATTTTTCTCCTTATTTTTTATATATTGTTAATAATGTCAAAATAAAATTTCAATGTTTTAATAATATCAGCATTTTTTGTACGATATATTATCATTCGATTTTGGACACTATCTTCTTTTCTCTTTTACTCTCTAACACGGTGTTGAGTTAAGATACAATTTTCAATAATAGCTCATCACAAAGAAGACGAAATGTTGAACATTTCCCTCTGTTACAGTATACAGATCAGATTTTTAGTATCTGAAGTATTTCAACACATATATTCGTGTGTTAAAACTAACTTCGTTACCATTTGTTTGTTGACACTACTTTTTTCCTTTTTGCCTCCCTAACACGACGTCGCTTTAAGATACAATTTTGACTTATAGCTTATTATAGAGAGGATGAAATGCTGAAAAATTTCCTCACTTATACTATGCAGGCCCGATTTTAAGTTTCTGATTTATTTTAAACCATATGTAAGAATATTTCAATAAGTCGACTATAGCTGACTTTACTTGAGCGTTAAAATCTGACGGATCAATCTAATCCACTCTCCACAAAAAAGTGCAAAACGCGCCTAAAGAAATTTTCACTTCTAAAATCAACCTGTAATTATTGTTATATTTGGTATTGTTGCGTAGCAACCAATTATATTTGAATAGAATTATTGCATAATAAAAACGTTTTTCTCTCGTAACAACCGGAGCTATAATATTAATGGCAGTTTTATGTTTGATTTAACCGTTTTCATTGTCGATATTAAATGGTCCAATTAGAGCGATAACATCTAACTTTCCTTGTACAATGTACACTTACCTCTTCACTTG